AATAAGTCTGATACATCTACATACATCTACACACATGCATTTTTCGTAGCCATTCAAGGATGTGTAAAAGGAGTATCCCAGATCGACCAAGGCTTGATCGACACATGGCAGGTGTCTGTTTGAAGCGAAACCAACACCGATCAACACGTGGGCAATCCCCGGCGCCGGACATTGGGAAAAGAGTGACCTCCTCACATGACTCATGAAGAATGTACAACCACTAAGCCTGGTCAATTGAATTCTGTCCAGTCTTGAAAAGGCTACAAGAGGCTTGCAAGAACAGGCTGAAGAGTCATTTGTGGAAACACTTCTGCAATAGTCTGCAATTTGTCGGCTCAGTTGACCGTGATGCAGGTCCTTCTTGAACTTGCAAGTTGAATCTTCCTTATATGCTGCAATGGCAGGTAAAAATACTGGCAAGGATTGACATGAACTTGTCAATGTCATTGGTAGTCATCTTGAGAACTAGCTCAGCTGAGAGTCTCATCAGCTGTACTTGTATTGCCGGGACTGGCGGCGATGCTGACGTGAGTTGCGGCGTTCAGTGCGGCGATTGCGGCGGAAGTCACCTCACGGGTCTTGATTTAACATGCAAAACACAAGCAAAAGCTCTCCAACATCTTTCTTACAAGAAGCATCAAATGACATGCACGAAAACGATGGAGCGGCATTAAACGTGAACATCTTAGTTAAAATTAGGTCGACTCCATATCAAGTAAGCCAACGAGGCACTGTATGGCTTCTTCTTGGATGTCGTCGTGGTTGTGGTGGTCGTGATGTCTGGTGCGGTAGTGGTGACTGGTGCGCAGCAGTCAGCACAGCCTCAAGTGACCGGAGCACCGCCTTTGACCCTCAGGATCCCTGTTTTGGTGGACGGATAGCATTTTGCCTGGGTTCCATACGGTCCCAAAGCATGCGTTTTGGGGGCTCACAACCTGGGATGACATGCAGACTTCTTTTTGGCGGTACGAGATCATGGGTGCCACCAAATGTGCAGAATGCGGGAGATCTCAATTCGTTTCACTGGAGAGAAAACATAAGCCAAGGAGCTGTCTGGCTCTGTCGGGTCAAGCAGGTCAGGCTGACAACAAACGGGATCACGAGGAACATCACCGCACCTTGTCGTGTTAGCCTCTGTGCAGTCATCAGGACGATAGTCCTCTGGCCCTTGGTAATAGCAGCTGTCCTCAGCAGCCATGCTCATCAAAGCAACTACCCACAAAAAAGTCCCGAAATGCTTTGTGGAAACAACCTAACTTTGAACCTGTGCGCACCCCCACATAAGCTATCATCAAAATCACACAAACCACATAGATGAGGGGTTACTCCTGTTTCGTTCGTTCTGCAAGGTTTGTCTGCTCCGGTCGGATTCTTCAAATGAGAAGGACCAGCACCGTTGCGTCTCCGCCCGCACCCCAAATTGCAGTGCGAAACAAATCAAGCTCAAAGCATTGTGTGGTGGACATGTGGGAACCTTTCCTGAGGCCCTGCTGCAATTTGTCGGGTATCGTTCTAGCCGCATGAGCTATGTCAGTAAGGATGTATGACAAAATGTTATAGTCAAAAGCAGTCCTGTAATAACTTTGTGTTTATGGCATTTCCATCAGTGTCCTTTTGTGACAGTCCTGTACATCATTTACACCTCGAGAAACACTTTCTCAAGTCAAGCACCGACCTTCTGAATGGAACTTGGGGTGGATTTTTCTATTGCAGTTCTAGGATCTGAGCCCTCTTTGGTCAGCGTCAAGCCTTCACAGTCGGAACCGCCCACGTTGTTCACACTGCAGTCCAAATCGATGCAAGAACCACCCTGGAGCGTGATTTCGGCATTGCGGCATGCCTCAGGAACCGTCCAGGGAAAAAGAAACGCGAGGAACCGAGTTCACCCAGTGAGAGGTCGGGCTAAGGCTGCAAGGCTAAGCGTGTCATCTCACTCTATGAATTTCCAACCTTCATATGCAAGGCACAGTTTGCATATCTGGTTTTCCCCAAATGCTGCCAGCAATAACCCAGATTTGGCCTAAGCAAGATTCCAACCGCAGGTTTATCCTCATGTCCAAGGGCTGGTAATCCTTATAGTGTTGTAATGGAAGGTATGAGACTTTCTTCAGTCGTCTCGAGACTGATCATACCGCAGCATTCAGTTTCTGGATGTGATAACTAACAAACATAGCAACAAACACCAGGATGACAGAACTTTGCACTCACTGCAAGAATTGCTACCCAAGCGAAATCACGCGTAATAAACCACTGCGATGACTCATGTCGGGAGACTCTTCCGTCATTTGTGGAACTCGTGCACGCGAAGGAGATGCGTGAATTTGAAGCAAATTCCTTGGTCACAACACTTTCCTCCCTGAAGGAGAAAAATCAAGCAAGTCCACTTTGCAAATATATGCCTCCACGACCAACTCTCAAAACAATCCCTGCAATTCTCCTTCCAAGGTGGCTATTCCCTTCTTTGATTGGCTAGACTCACTATATACTCCTCTTGTAATATCGAGCAGCCCTTCCATACTTGATGAGTTTTCCTCTTAATGCAGCTCTTCCTATTCTTGAGGATTGTATTCTTTTTGTACTAATACCATTCACTTTCTTATCCATGTTCTCAATGGTTTTCTCGCTTTCCCAAGTCGCCTTTATCCTTCTTATTAAGTTCCTGAGTTGTTCAGTAAGAGGATTAGGACATGAACACGCAGAATAGCATTTTGAGAATGGCAAGAGCTGAACAAAACATGCCAAAAAAATGCTGAGCCTCAGGGAACATATATAATGATATAGAAAGAACTAAGCTAGAAAGTGAAAAGCCACTAGACCAAGAGAAAGTCCTTTGAGAATAGGAAGAGCATGTGAAGACAATGACCATGCAACAAACAAGAGCTAGATGACAGTGGGGCAAATCAACCGGACACAGGAAGAGCTGAATAATTTAGAAGAGAAACTGGTAGAGGAACTCGAAAAGAAGCGGAGCAAGAAATTGAAGATTCACATGTCTTGATAACATATAAACACACTATACAAAGATACACTCATTTCCTGGATAGGGCTTCAAGCCACAACCAAACAAGAAGTGCGATATCAAAGATGACACAAAGCAATCTAGACAAGATGAGTCAAAAGAGGAGGAGCCATGCAACACTGGAACAAATTGATTAAGAAGGCAAACACAAACACCTGAATTCATATGTCTGTTGCCTCTCCTCAAGACATCTGTGTAGACTTGTCTGCATCAATCGTGAACAAAAAACACGTGCATTAACCCTGCTAACTTCTAACTTTGCATTGACACATACTGTATACATGACTTTGTGCTGCAACTCCACCCATTACCTACCTTTTGGTGTATTGTAAGTGTTTTGCAAGTTGTAGTTGCCATGAAACCCAAACGGCTGTAGCATAGGTGCAGTCAACTTCAGCTTGCTCTGGATTGATTCTTAATAACCTTCAATATCCTTCAAGAACACGTTTGCAAAAAACGATGAAACAACAAATGCTAATAAGAAACCTACCTGAGAAAAAGGCGAGCCTATTGAGACCTGGGAGACTTTTTAAGGGGAAGAATAAATCAGTTGTATCAGCACGGAAAGAGCTGAAATAGAGAGGAAACACTATCTAAAAATTTGGACAACCCAGCACTTGGGAATTCAACACTGTGATTGCCAACAAAATTTGACCAGGAAAAGAGTCTGTTCTAGCTTACAATCAACAGGCAACTACGCGCGAAAACAACAAAGGCAACTTTCGCCCTGCTCAAAGCCCATCAAAAAAGAACTACTGTAAGCTCCTTTGATACTGATACAAGTAAGACCTTTACATAAACATCGACAAGTCGTGTGAAGACCTTACAATTTGGTGTTAAATATTGTTCCACACAAGGCATGTGGCAAACAAAAAACCCTTTGGGGGAAGCGAGGTCGGAAATCAACGCATGTGTATATACATATATGATTATGTCCGTTAAAAACGTTGGAAGACAATTGGAGCATCACAAGATTGTTGACGGCAACCGAGATCTATGTTGGAGTGCAACCACAAGCCAGAGCGCAGCAGGGCATAGGAAAGATGTGCGCTCGTGCAGCGACGCAAAAGGCGGTACAGTAAATGGTGGTGCGAAGGGGAATCTTACCATCATATAAATAGATTCTATATACAGCATATAGTATATGATCGTACATGAACCGATATAGTATTTTTCTGCTTATGTAAAGCTCATATCTCACTCCAATAATAACGAACTCCATTTCCTACATGGCCGTGGGTCTTGGCACCCGGAGCCCCTTTCACTCACCCCGGGTCTGAAAACCGACTTTGTCTACAGAAACACGACCTCGCGACCAATCAAGCTCCCAGGATCGAAGCTGCTGTCCACGCAGCTGGTTTGACCAAGGCCTAACGAGGTTGAGACTGGACCAAAAGATTCTCTAAGCGGTTGGGGAGACCTGCAACTGTTGATTTTGATTTTTGATTTTAACTTGCCTTCTCGAAACGATTTGGGACAAACTCATATCATATCTCACAATATCATCCAGACTCGGCAAGTACATCGTTCTTGTATACGGCAACACCCTCTTTCGCATCCAAAAAAGGAGACGGAAGCAAAGTCTGAGGAGGTGGCAATCGACCACATGGTAGCCATCACTGCCGCTGAGCCTCGGTAGTACCACGAAGCTTGCACCTTCAATCTCCTTCAACACCCTCCACTGCTGTCGAGAAACGTGAAGCTGCTTTGCTTGCAACTCCCTCTGGGGCCGCTGGGGTTTTGATTCACGATGGAATCGCCATCGCAAAGCCTCAAAGCTGATGACTTTGTCTTTGAACATTGCATCCTCATGTGACTAATGTTTCCTCACTTGAGCTCTTGATGCTGTTTGTGTCTGACTATCTGATGCTTCAGGTTCAATTGAATTGAAGATCCCACACAAGATCTCAGCTTCTTGTTGGTCTTGGTGAAACACCATGTTCGACCATCAAAACCAATCCAAAGAAAAAGACCGAGGAACAAATCCCTGGACACCTCCACTGTCGCGGATGAGCAAGCACGATTTCCTCGACAAGTCAGGCTCTCAATTCCTTTCAATTCGCCCTCGCTGCAGCTATCAATACCATCGCAACACCTCAGACGGTGACGCCGACGCGTGGTTTTCTCTTCACAGCTCCAGTCCTGTGGATCGTGGTATCTAAAATCAGGGGCGGGACCGGAAAAAGAACAAGACCTCTTGACAAACACACCTATTACATGTCTTGCAGTTGTGCCAAATCTGGGCTGGCCAAAGGGGCTTTTCGAGTGTCCATAAACCATCTCATAAAATCGATATGCGCGGGCTGCTCAAAGCGAGCAACATGTCATTCTGGCAGCCGCCATCCGGGTCACTTGCGGGTGTCAAAGAGATCTTCGACCTTAGCAATTCGAGGGTGATACAAGCAACCACATGATCGTCAGAAATGAACTTGGAATTTGCTTCTCTGCGCCAAGGCCTGCATGGCTGGTTTCTGCACCTCCTCACCAAATGGCCAGGACACAGTAAAACATGAGGCATCGCTACCACCTGTGATAATGGGGAGCTGTATGATGCTGTATGGGAATGGATTTTAATAGCCCCAAACAATGGGTAAACTGGTAAACGGGTTTATTTCACTGGGACCACGGATGCATGAGCCCGAAAAACCCGAAGCGGATATGATGCATGCCAGCCCACCCGTGGCAGGAGCCCCGGTAAGCGCAGCAGGCAGCTCCGGCATTCTCCACGTTCCACGTATCTGAACAAGTACCAGCCTGAGATGGCTAGGTTCCAACAGTCCCGTGTCCGAGGGTGGAGGCTCAATGGCTTCCAGAAAGGATGTGCATAGCGGCGTAGCTTCAACAAGATGTTCGTCCCTCCTTCAGCATTGGAGCTTTTTCCCGAAAGCATTGCGAAGGGTTCTTCCGGAAAATCCCTTGAACACTGACACTTCGACACTTACACACTGACACTTCCACACTTGCACTTGAACACTGACACTTACACACTGACACTTCCACACTTGCACTTGAACACTGACATTTCTACACTTACACTTGAACACTTACGCTTCCACACTTACACTTGAACATGAAGACTTACACTTCTATACGTATCCCAGTGTAAGTGGAAGAGTGAAAGCATCCAACGGCAAGTGTGAGTATGGAAAACTTGCACGGGAGATGTCCTAATGAGTACGCAATGAGTACGCAAGCGTGAGTATGGAAAACGTGCACGGGAGATGTCCTAATGAAAAACATTTCCCCACTTTATAAATTTTCTCTTAAAGGCGGAGGGTGGGACGAACAGCGTCAACCGAAAATGCAACCCTCTGCGGAGATCGTGCGTGTCGAGTGCGCGAAATGCAGGCGAGAGCGCGATTTGTCACATTACCGCGCAACCCTCTGCGGAGATCGTGCGTGTCGAGTGCGCGATTTGTCACATTACCACGCAGCCCTCTGCGGAGATCGTGCGTGTCGAGTGCGCGAAATGCAGGCGAGAGTGCGATTTGTCCGGCGCGCGCGCAACCCTCTGCGGAGATCGTGCGTGTCGAGTGCGCAGGCGAGAGTGCGATGTGGGGAGCTGGAAAATGAGAACTGGCGATTTGCTAGTACAACTTTAGTGCGCGGAGCAACCTGTGGAGCTGGAGGCTGAGAACTGGCGACTCGCTAGTACAACTTCAGTACGCGGAGCAATCTGTGGAGCTGGAAGCTGAGAACTGGCGACTTTGTAGTGCAACTTTAGTACGCGGAGCAATCGGTGGAGCTGGAAGCTGAGAACTGGCGACTTTGTAGTACAACTCTAGTACGCGGAGCAAGCCGTGGAGCTGGAAGCTGAGAACTGGCGACTTTGTAGTACGACTTTAGTACGCGGAGGGTGCGCTACTTCGTTCACCATATCTACAGTGAAGACCTTCACCAGCAAACATAGACACACACACACACACACACGCAGACAGGGACTCATACACACACACACACATCACACACAGAGACCCACGCACTGCCTCAACTTACTCGGACACACTTATGGATATGCGTACGGAACTGAAAGCGGTGCCACACGCCGGCCTAGGTAAAACCACCTAAGGTTCCAGGTAGTGGGTTAGAGGCCTCCAAACCTATGAACACGAAGGCGAACGACGACGACAGGGTGACGACGGTTCGAGGAAGTCAGTGGAGCTCCCAAGGTCCAAGCACTCAAGGAAAATCACCGCTGCATTAGCCGCTTACTGCAAAACACAGAATTGGAACCGCTTGTCCATTAAGTAGGTTTCTCTCCAAGCAGGTACGTCAATCCGGCGTCCCGGATTGATTTCACAGATGCAGCACTGGCGTCTTCGTTGGTGCCAGTCCAGTGTGCATCCCTGGCACCCCCTGCTAAAAAACTCAAAAACTCCAAAAGCGAGAACAATCCGAAAGGATCCCTGTGATTCCAAGGGTTACACACACACACACACGCACACACACACAGACAGAGACTCATACACACACACACAGACATAGATACACACAGAGACCTACACACTGCTTCAACTCACTCGACTTAACACTTCACACTGAACACGTAACAGATAACTCACACTCTGACTTCCTACGTGATAAAAAAGGCATTCGGGCCACTCGTCGTCTAGTTACGAGAAGGAATCATATTCCTGGAATCTAAAGCAGCAAGGACCACTTGCAACGACAAATCATGACATGGGAGAATGGCATCCTGAAATCGTGCATCTGTACATTCGGGGAACGGGACAGCAAGAGACCAACTACTCGGTAGGCACATTACAGTCATCCATGCTCGGGTAAAGTCACCCAATCAAACCCAGTCCCCACAAGAACCTGATCACGTCAGGTAAACTTTCCTTTACATTTCGGTTACAGAATCCCAGTGTGGACACCTCTACCGTTTTCAGTGTGCAACAACAATTACAATCTAGTTTCGATCAAAGTTCCTCAGCGCTGGAATAGGGCATGAAGTGCCTTCAAACACATTCAATCACTAGTCCCCCAAAGGCCTCAAATCCAAGTAACACACACACAGACACACACAGACACACACAGGCACACACAGACACATGCACACGACAGTCACAGGAGGACGACCTAAGCACCGTCGTATCAAGCCCAGTAACTCCTTTGCAGTAGAGGTAGTCTAATGAACTCCTGAACTTGATCGTAGCCCCTGCGTCTGCTGTGTTGCACGTCGTCGAGTCACCCTGACACTGCAAGAATCCCGTGGGAAAGCGATCCTTATTTGCGGGCAAGATCTTCTTGCCAGTGAAGTCGCACTCGAAGCAGGTGTTCTTACCGACACAGTCGCCGTTGTTGTAGTCGAGAGGTTGGCAGGTGTCCTGTGTCTCAGCCTCCTGTGCCAGTCGATTTGGACCTTCTGTGGCCCAAAAGTCTCAAAGAAAGGCCTTCCTCGCAGTTTAGGGATGTTTACGGTTAGAACAGTTTTGATATGTTTTGATTCCTGCTCAACCTAAGACAAACGACACAAGTAGTCTGAAGTCCTATGTGATTTCGTTCCAACTGGCACCGGTCTCCCCTGGCACCGGCCTTCTCAAGGATACGACCCAAGCGAGGTTGAAGAAGAGCGGTGTCATCCATCATACACGCCTCCGACGGCTTGGTCGACTGCCAGAGCAGAAACGGAGGCGTGTAGCGGCTCGGTGGATCTGTAGAGACAAAACATGTCCAACTCATGGGTGGAAGTGGTTCAAAGCGGCTTGGTCCTTGGAACGCAACAATCACTGAACAGTAATTACACACTTCAACTTGGAAGCTGTCAGAGGCAGTGCCAAAAGCGCGGGCAGTGTCCGCAGAAGGGTACAGTCAGTGGAAAACACACAGTCAGAAGACATTCTCAAGGTCTCAAAGATGGGTGTGTATTTGGTTTTTTACCGTATTCGAGCCAAGAAGACAGACACTTTTGGCCAAACTGAGTGCCCGTGGATCACACAAGTGCAAACGTCATGCACCATTGGTTCATGGACACCTACAAGGCACAAAGACCAACCAAAAGTTTCACCTTAACACCTAGTTCTTGCACCTACTTTTTTAGGGGTATGATTCGAGGGTATGAATCGCTCAAGTCGAACTTCCAACCACTACATCAGGAAGTACACGCCAAACAAGTACAAACCCAGATGAGCTTCGCGAAGCTTGATGGCTTTCCTACATCCCCAAAGTTCCCAACCTCACCTCCTCCTCGCATTCTGCGCATGCAAAGCGAATGAGGAAGAACAATGTAGCCACAAAGATTCGCACCATTGATACTGGCCTTGGATGGTTTGGAGCAAGTGGGGATTCGACTGAGTTCGCGGATGTACAAGTCCCAAACCTAAGATCCAAGGGTTGATCCATTGGCTGGGAGTTTCATCCCTGTTGGACTGAACCCATGGTTGCCATGGCGCTCAGTCCATTTCGGCGTAGAAAAACACCATGATTCTAAGAGATCTGGACCCGAACGCCTTCCTTCCAGTTTGTGGAGGCGAAGTACGGCAACAAAACGAGTGGTATCAAAGAGGTGGGGGAGCACTCATTGGATGCAAAACCCGCCCGCTTCTGCCGGCCCATGCTTGACTCCAAGAAGCGCAATCTGCTGGAAATCCACGGCCACCAGCCCGGCCCCCGTGTAGTTAAGGGAAGTTCGGTCGTTTTTTGAGCACTTCGGTTTTGGCCGGGCGAAGGTATACAGTTATGGACTTTGGGAGGCGAAACCGCTGGCTGGTCGGCCAACAGGGTCGCTACGTGCAGAAGGTATCTCGTGCGGAGCTCGACTCTAAGAATCACCTTCTCAACACTGTCACACGGGCAAAGCATGTCACCAATCAAAATGGAGGGACCAAATTCATCCAAATTCAACTTCACAGTATTGCCACATAACTTGCAACATATTGTAACCCTGCCCACGCTTTCTTTTCCTACAGTGCAAAGTGCAAGTCAAAGCGATCATTTCACCGTTGTTTGCTTGTAGGTATTGATTGGGTTGCCCTGTAACTTTTTTGACAACACCTATTGTGAAGTTCTTGAAATATAAAATAATTATTTGTGAGTGCTGCCCACTTATTAACCTACCAGTTCCAAGTGAAAAGAACTGCACATGCACTATAGCGCTACTGGAAAAAACGGACGATCGACACCCTTTGGCTCGCCAACATGGAAGGGGGCTGACTTGGACGACCTCCTCAAGCTGAGGAAAGGCCATGAGCTGGAGGGAAACCTCAAACTGTGACCCCAAACTCCCGGGACTGCGTGCAGGCACCGTATGTGATGAAATCTATGAGCGCATGAAGCTACAAGCTTGGCTGAAGAACACAGTTCTTTGAACCATGCAAGGTGTATGCCCCTCCCTCGATCGAAACTGTCGCCATCGCAGGTTCATCTGAAAAGAATCACTTCCCCTTCGAACGCCGAAATGGCCACATCTGCACCAGTCTGAAGAACCAACTCTTCTATATGCTTTATAAACATGTCAACATGACTGAACATCACATTTCGCAACCGTTGTGAGTTCAAAACTTGGAGACGGTGAGATTCAGAGCTGGCGATCCTTGGTTTCCGGTGAGGGCGGTGAAAGGTGCGTCAGAAAGGATGAGACTAGGCTGACCTGTCATCTTCGGAAGCACATCCACAGCGCAAGCGGCAAGCGCTGCGCAGGCTCCAGTGACTAGGAATGCGGTTTAAGCTTGGTGTTCCTTGCGCGCTTCTTCAAGTGATTGGCATATAAACAACTCCTTTGGTCTTGAGACACGCTGAGAGTCTCATGAGCTGTGCTTTTAATGCCGGATGTGGCGGCGATGAAAACGTCAGTTGCAACGGTCACAGCGGCGATTCTGGCAGAAGTCACCTCATGGGTATCGACTGGTTTCGACTATACATGCCCAGCCAACAAAAGCTCTGCAACATCTTCTTGTGAGAAGACTCAGAAGACCAGGGCTGCAACAAATGGAGCGCCAAACAGGGAAGACTTCTGAACAAAACCACGCGTGAAGTTCTGGCCAGAGGCTTCAAGCGCTCATTCACAAAAGTACTCGTTGCCGATTTTTCGGTTTTAAAAGTCATCTTTGGCTTTGGATGTTGTGTTAAATGTGGCAGCGGCAGCACAAAATCCTGTGCTTTACAATACAAACTGAGTTTTCCTTGCTTCAGTTGAAAACCCCAACACTTGCTTTTCTTGGTGGCATTGCTTTTCGCTGTTTGTCGCAAAAAAGGGAGATGTCTGGACACGCTGCCTTTTGCTTCTTCGACGTGTAGCCGCAAGATCTCGCAGCACTCAATTCTTCCAAAAAGAGTCACCGCACCTTGTCGGCACTGAAGTCTATGGACAAAGCGTCGCCAAACAAAGAAAGGAGGGCCACCATGGACTCAGGTCTAAGTCTAAATGTCCAAGAGAGTCAATGCCCAAGAGAGTCAACGTCTAACAAAAACGATCAGGATCTAAAGACATGTGAAGAGCCCAAGAGGCTTTTGGATCTTTTGCGATATCAACACAGTCAACGACCAAAAAGTTCAAGACAAGAACTCATCACGAAAGAACAAATGCAAAAAGTAAAGTTGGTTAGACCAGGGAAGCATCACCAGAAAAGGACAAGTGACGCATAGATGACGCATGATGACGCGTGACATGGACGTTTCGCCTACAAAAAACCTGCTGGTGAACATGAAAAACTGCAGGGAGTGCCAAAGTGAGCACGGCCCCTCCTGACATCTCCTGACCCCAAACCAGTGTTGTAAAATGAGCACGAAAAAGCATGTAGTCAATCAGGTAGTACTGTTGTCACTTTTTTCAGGCAGTTGGCTTAAACGCGACAATCTTTGTCAAATTAGGTCGACCGATGATTGACCCCGTATCAAGTAAGACAACGAGGCACTGGTTGTGATCGTGATATCTGATGCGGTCGCAGTGACTGGTTCACAGCCGTTCACAGCAGTCAGCACAGCCTAGCATCCAAGGAAACTCGATCCAACGATTTCTCGAGTCAAGTCCCAATTCCTGAAGTTGGTGCTTCATGGCTGGCCGCAATTGGCACAAACGAAGACTTTCACCCTCTTTCACCCTACATGGCCAGGCTGAACTCCAGGTCCGACCGGTTGAATCGGATGTTCTGCCCTGACATACCAAGAATCCGTTGGGGAAGCGAGCCTGATTTGCTGGCAAGACCTTGGCGAAGTCGCACTCGAAGCAAGTCTCGACGGTCGCCATTGCTGTAGTTTTTTCTGCTGGCATGGCAGGTGTTCAACTGAGTCTCCTGTGTGGCGCCAATAAACACTTTAGATCCGAATGAAGCGAATCCATGTTTTTCTGCTTCGACTACAACCTTTGGGTTTCGGCTTTGAACTCTGTTTGCCCATCTGTGCATCTATATGGTTGACACATCTGCTTTCGCAGCGAAGAGCACATCAGTGTCCGAAACGATCGCCCAGTGTCTGGCTGCTTAAACTTACAGCGGCTGCTTGGTGCAGGCCAAGTCGGCCTAGTTCGGTGGCCCCATTTGGCCTGGTTTCTCGTCGCAAAAACATGTTTTTTGTTCAAACTGTTAGGTGGTCGAAATCGGAATTCCAAGTTCCAAGGATCTCATTCGGTTGACACTGAATAACATTTGGCGCTGAAGACATTTTGGAAACTCTGGGGTTGCAGCGAACTCGCAGGTTGACTTCTAGGATTCCACGGCGATCTGATGAAATTGCAAATTTGATCCAATTTGTCATTCCAGAGGTGGTGTGCTTCTCATGAAGTTCTGCTGAACCTTGAAGCTTTCCCAGCCAAGACTCTCTAATCCCATCCGGATGATCAAATGTGAGTGACTCGAGCCCGCATGACTTGACTGCGGGTCAGATCTTCGTGGCGTCTGCAGGGTCACTCGGGTCACTCGGAGATCTCAAAGGACTAAATCTCTACAGGTCAATGAGGCAATTTTACTGGAGTCGGTCATACACAAACACTACTTAAGGAGGTCAAAGACCAGGTCTTACTGGATCAGACCGGACTTGTAGAGAAAAATTCTGCACGGGGCAGACTTGGCACACGAACTGCTCGCTGAAGGGCCAAGACTTCATCCCAGAAGATTATATAGACAAATACGGCACATGGAGGGAATGACAGCAGGTTGGCAAGAACTGGTTCATCAGTGGGCTACGGCTATGGCCAGCAACTATCCTTGTGCAAGCATCCTGGTCTGAATCTAACGTACTGGGAGCATTCACCATCATTCACCCAAATTTATCTGCACAAACTACAATAGGCTGCTACATGCTGCTACCCTTCCTTGACCAAGCCTACCAAATTCACTGGGAACATCGCAGAAAGACACAGAAATCTCCGCACTTTTTCAGTACAGTGCTGTGCAAGTCAAAGCAAAAGAAGGAAGGTGCAGTGCATTTTGCAACTGCAAGTCCGAGATCGGTCAAAGTTGAACCACAGGCAGGCATCCAAGCTAGGCCAGCCTACCCCAGTCTGGGATACTTCAGGAAGAGTGTTTATGCCTCGTGATTGCGTAACAGCAAGAGAAATGGTCGTCAGATTTGATTGCAAGTGAGCTTCGAAGCGAAAAGCATCCAACACCTTCTTCCTGCATGTGCCAAGCACCAGCTCATCCTTTATCAAACTCATGTTCAAAATGGAAAACACTAACTCCCCATTCACGCTGCAACGAAACACGTGAACCACAATTTGTGTCCAGATCTTTGTTAGGCGGAAGCGCGCGATCTTTGGGGGAGATATGGAGGACCGAAAAACATCTGTGCCTACGGGGTCTCTCGCTCGGAGGATTCTCATCAGCTGTACTTGTATTGCCGGGACTGGCGGCGATGCTGACGTGAGTTGCGGCGTTCAGTGCGGCGATTGCGGCGGAAGTCACCTCACGGGTCTTGATTTAACATGCAAAACACAAGCAAAAGCCCTCCAACATCTTTCTTGCAAGAAGCATCAGAAGACATGCACGAACACGATGGAGCGCGATGGAGCGGCATTAAACGTGAACATCTTAGTTAAAAATTAGGTCGACTCCAGATCAAGTAAGCCAACGAGGCACTGTATGGCTTCTTCTTGGATGTCGTCGTGGTGGTGGTGGTCGTGATGTCTGGCGCGGTAGTGGTGACTGGCTCACAGCAGTCAGCACAGCCTCGCTCTCCAAGCATGCAGCATGCAGTTTCAGCTTCGCTTGAGTCCATGCCAGGAGCCCGAGTAGCGTCCTTGCCCCTAGTAGTGTCCTTGCTCCTATTAGCAGTAAGGGGAGCCCCTAGTAGCGTCCTTGCTGTTGGTTCTCGTTTCCTGTCTTCTGTGGTAAGCTGTGAGCTAAGGAGCTGTCTGGGTCACCTCCATCAGAATGACAGCAAATAGGGTCGCGCGGGATGTCACCACACTCTGTCCTGTTGGCCTCTATGCATCCAGCAGGGAGAAACGCATCTGGCCCTTGGTAGTAGCAATTGTCCTTAGATGAAGCTGATGCTCTGATGTTGACTGGGTAAGTAGCGAAACAAAATGAAACAACTGGACACAGTTGAATCCATACAGAGTATCGTCAGGTTCCTTACAAAAGTGCCTCCAGGCCTACATGATACTAGCCATATCTAGCCATACTAATCCAGACTAGTCAGACTGACTAGTAATATTTTCGCTTTTTTTTACTCTAGGATCCGAGCTCTGCTTCTCCACTGTCAAGCCTTCGCAGTCGGAACCCAAGTTGTTTCCGTCGCAATTAATATCGATGCACGAATCACCTTTGAGCTGGATGTTGGCCTCCTTGCAAGCCTCACATGCACATCCCGTGCATGGAACATCAGAGTATCACTATTGGCATGTGACCTATTGCTTCCTTGCAAACTCCAAGAGTTACTTTTGCTCCAAACAAAATCCTAAGACCAAACCTAATTCTTGAGAAACGGACCTTCCACTGCAACCGGAAACACCGGCTGCCGTTTATGTGCCTGTCCGTTCGAAACTCCGGATGGGCTCTGGCACTGGAGCGAGATGCT